CACAGATGGACTTGGCTTTCTCACTGAAGGATTCTGGGTAGGTCACCGGGTCGTTCAGGATCCGCTTCTTCACCTCTTTATTCTCCACCTGAGGAGCAAACAATCACAATGACAGAGCCAAGAACAACAGCTGCAGATATAACAGTGTTTGTAAGCACAAAAACAGAGTACAAAACAAGCAAACAAATAAAACTGAAGAATTGTCATTAGAACAGCCATTGACTTCCATAGTATTTTCTTTCAATGGTATGGAAGGCCGTTTCCGCCACTGAATAAAAAAATAAATTAAATAAAAAAAATTCTCACAATTGCGTGATATAAAGTCCAGTTCTGAGGGGAAAAAGACTGATATGCTCTCAGACTTGCGAGTTTATATCTTTATGAGTTTATATCATTACAGAGAATTGCGAGTTTATATCATTACAAATGATGACGATCTTCTACTTTGTAAGTCGTTTTGGATAGAAGCGTCTGCTAAATGACTAAAAGTAAATGTAAATATCACAAAACTCTGACTTCATTTCTCAGAATTGCAAGTTTATATCACGCAATTCTGAGAAAAAAGTCTGAATTGTGAGATAAAAAGTCACAATTGCCTTTTCTATTTTTATTCAGTGGCAGAAACGGGCTTCCATACAATGGGAACCATCAACTATTTGGTTAAAAAATATCATTCTTTGTGAGTTTGATAGCTAAAAAAGAAACTCATACAGGTTTGAACCAACTTGAGGGTGAGTAAATATTGACAGGATTTTCATTTTTTGGGTAAACTATCCCTTTAATGCTAATTGACACATTTGACCAGTAGGTGGTGCCGTCACCAAACGATTAAACGATTACAGTACCATCAAATAAAAGTTAATTATTTTAGTAGATAGAATAGAAATAGAAGAGAGATTACATTCTTCCATTTGTTTCTATGGGCTGCACCAAAATAAGCATAATAACAAATCTAGCAGATGTAAATTAAAATGAATGAATAAAATGCTATGAATTAAATCCATGAATATTACTCTACTTCATCATCTGCAGGTTTACTATGGAGCTTCACGTGTAGTGTATGTTAGGAGGATCTGTTTGTATCTGCTTTTACAGAAGCGCCATCAAACGTCTCTTTATAGGGAGATCACATGGTGCTCGCAACGGCAAGCTCATGGGTTCGATTCCCAATGAATGCATTGCACACAGAAGACGTTTTCCATTGCATCGCGCTACTGTTCCATTGTTTTGTGCTTAGACGCCCGCCTGACTGTCTCTGCGTCTCGTGCATGACACACCATTCTAAAAATACTTCACTCGAGTTCAAATGAGTTATTTAGAACAAGGCCTTGCACTTTTCTCACTCCAAGCTAAAGCACGTTCTGCGTGAGTCGCTTTAAATAAAAGCATCTGTTGAATGCATGAATGTGATTCTACTAAAGATCCTCTGGAGATCTGTTGAAGATCACCTTCTCTCCTCGAGTCCTGAAGGGTCCTTTGGCGGCGATGAACTCGTACAGCGTGACCCCGAGAGTGAAGTAATCTACTGAGTAATCATATTCTTCACCCTTGAGCAGCTCCGGGGCCATGAACCCTGAAAACACACACACACACACACACACACACTCACTCACACACACACACACACACACACTCTCTCACACACACACACACACACACACACACACACACACACACACGATTCTCTTCTGGTGAAGATGCTCCAGTCCTTGAATGATCTGAGCAGCATAATAACACGCTCTGGCTTCAGAAAACCCTGGGTTATTCTCATCCACATTATAGACATGGTACCTGCAGAAGAATGACACAGACTCTTTAAAATACATACAGAAATTCACGAAACAATTAAACTAAACTAAAAAATAAAATTAAATATGAAACCAGCAATCACAGGCGAAGCAGGGCAATGAGCTCATCAAAAGTGCAGTGCATCACAGCCAAACAGGCCTACTGGGTCAAAGGTTACGAGGAAACTTTAAAGTTTAACATTAAACCAGTAGGTGGCGCTGTTACAAAGCTACTGAGCTCTGAGCTCAAGATCACAATGTAAAGAACAGGCGTGATGCAAGCAATCGCCCAGGTGATTTCACTGGGTTCAAAACACATGCTTTTGAATATCCAATATCTATGTATTTTAAGAACCTCAGTATACTAACACAGATGTTCTCTTTTATATATGTGAACCAAAGCACTAGTTGTCCTACTGTAGTTTATTTCATGCATTATGACACATGCAGGATGCATTTCCCAGTTTTCTGTTTCGCAACCGATGCATAACAGAAGAGCGACTGTTTCCAAACAGCACAATAATCTGTCAGTGAATGATGTCTTCATGCTTGTTACTATGAATGAGGTCTTTAATAATCTTTGGACTCACGATGGACAGCGTTCAACATTTACACAAGGACACACCAGCGTTCTTCCTGTCCAGGATTTCCACAACAAATCTGTTCCATAATTAAATGTGTTGGAGTTGCATTTCATAATGAGCTGAAGGCCAAAGCGCTAAAGCTTCACCGGCTCTAATGCTGCCGCTGGTCCACAGAGCTGCTCACTCATCTGACTGATGCTTACAGACGCTCAAACACGTGCACATCTGATCAATACTGATGAAGAATGAAGAGGAACATGATGCTCTGCTGCACTCAATGGCCTTTATCATCACTGGAGGCTTTCATCATTTATTCTGACGGAAATCAGTCAACAGTCCAAAACTGGTACAAGCACACTCTAATTTGGAATGTTTGGTCATTTCATAAGTTGTGATCTAAAACAGGATTGCTTTGTTGGAGTGAAGCGCTAGTAAAGCATATCACCCGCAGTAAAGCCTTCACCTTCATCATCAATGTCACGTCTGAGCTGCTTAATCGCACAAAACCAACATGTCAATCAGGATCCACATCCTGTTATCTAAGCGTTACCATTACTAGTCTTGCAATACATATCTATTGCCCTGGACATCGCCATAAAAAATGAGGAAATGGTGCCATTTGTGCCTTAAACCAAAACTGTTTGGTTTTGCTTTTACGAGCGACCACCGAGTTTAATTTATTGGGTTCAAAACACATGCTTTTAAATTTCCAATATCTCTGTGATTTATTTTATCAGTAAGGTTCTAAAGACCATCTGCACCAAATTTGGTGAAGATTGGATAAACGTTGTGGAAAGAGCAGCTCAAATGGTTTTGCTCTAACCGGCCAAAGACACTCAAAAAAATCATATTGACCCATTTCAGGCCCAAAGCACCAGAGCACCCTAAACCTATTTCAACCCCATTAACGTTACATTTCAATCATTTGAACAGACAACTAACTCTTCATTCAAACAGTAGTAAGTCCTTTGGACACCAATGGCAAGATCCTCATAACCAAACCTCAACCAAAGGCATCAAGCCACTTTCATACCTCATAGCCTTTCCTCTTCTTCAGCCTCTTCTTGTTGAGCTTCTTGCAGGCGTACAGCTTCCCCGTGGCCTTCATCTGACAGGCGGACACCTCTCCGAATCCACCCTTACCCAGAACACGGAAGTCCAGGAACCAGTCCTCGGCTACGGGCTGCATCTCCAGCCACTTCCACTGGAGGAACCGCTTAAAGTACATGGTCTCTAGATAGAAGGTGAAGGGAACCTCTTTGAGGAAGTTGAAAACGCTGGCCAGGATCTGCACAAACAGGTCATCCGCCACCTCCTCATGCCGCTCCTTCACCTTGGTGATGTCGTTCTCGGGTAAAAACGGGCAGAAGTGCTTGGCCGAAGGCTCCATGTAGCGCTGGAGGATTTTGGCGGCTTTCTGAGCTCGGTCTTTATCCTCGGCGGTGTCATACGCCTCGACGTCCTTCCAGAGGCGACAAGGGCCTTTATACTCATTGGTGGTTTCCAGAAACTCTTGAAACAGTCGCTTACCAATGGGTTGCTCCACGCAGATGCTCTTAAACTGCAGATCCAGAGTTTCTCTCAGACCTTCGCACACCGTGATGTGGGGCAGCTTGAGTTTGGCATGGTACTTCTTGTCTCGGTTGGCCGCCGGGTTAGCCGTGCCGTCGAAACTGCCACGGGCCGAGATGTACGCCGAGTTGGCCACCACCGTCGTCAGGCCGCCGATGTCCATGGCGAGGCGAGGGAACTGAACTGGGACTTTCGGAGTGAGAGCGAGACGAGATTGGCAGCTGAAGGGTCACAGCGAGAGCATTGGAGCTCAGCGCCGTGAGACTGGTCCTCACTGGAGAAGAAGTGTGGGATTAGATCATGAGATGCAGAGGAACGGACAGTGACCAATGGATCCAGCACGACGTCTTGAGTCTGATGGGAAAGTGAACAATAAGCCCTGCAACACACACACACTCAGACGGATCCACCTGACTCAACATCTTTCATAAGGCTTTATCCTCTAACTCCATAATACCTTCCTCAAGTTAACACCTCTCACTGATGGAGAAGCGAGAACATCACTCACCACAACGACACTCCAAACATCCTATAATTCAGAATTAATTCATCAAATGACTCAAGCACATATGTGACCCTGCAGCACAAAAGCAGTGTTGACTGGAAGCTAAAAAGTCTCTATATGAAGATTTTTTCATATCAAAGATTATGAACACAAACAATTCTCTTACTTCGCTTAAGGATTATATAGACATTAGATTTTTAGCATTTTAAGGTAACAAGTAGGGTGTTGAATGAATGCAAAAATAAAAATAAAAATAAATAAATGGTGTCTAAGGAAAGCCATCGTCTTTCTGATTTTACAGAAACATAATAACAGATAGTGTTATTGTACATGAAAACACATTATTATTGGATTACATGAATCATATTGTTGCTATTTAGCCCTAACTTTCTTTTCTCAATCTGTTGAATGACGGTCTTGCAGGTGATATTTTGCTAATGAAATCATGATTGCATACTAATTTCATCCTTCACAAATGCACTTAAACATCTAATAATTTTATTATTTCACATCACTCAAGACACAAAAAACCACCACACAAGCATATAAATCGTTCTTTCCGTTTAATGTCTATACATGAATAAGAAAAGTATATTTCCTTAGTATTTGTTACATTGTACAAAAAAGGCTGGACGTTTGTTTGACGTTCGTTTGTTGTTGTCTGTGATTGAAGAGCTGCATGTCACAACAAACGTCCAGAAAAAGCTCCAATATCAAAAATAGCTGCCTATGAGAGCAAAACACAACAAACCGGTAGAAAAACTCAGCCTCGGTGAACAGCGCTCTTCAAAAGTAGCCAGCAGGAGCAGCAGCACAAAGACGATCATTCGAGCTTATCTGCTCATAAGCTACTGAAGATAATAGACTGAGCTGAAGAATTATAGGAAGCATTTGAGGGAATCCTTACAGCAGGATCACAACAAGAACTGGGGGAACAAAGGGAATCTGCATGTGATCCCGATCCAGACGGGTTCTGGAGCTCAAACTCAGAATCAGCAGCTCCAGGCCCGTCCTAATCGTCCTCATCTTCATCAAAGTCCTCGTCTTCGTCGTCCTCCTCTTCCTCCATGTAGGACGTGGGTGTCTCCACCCTGGAGCCGTTGGAGCTGGACGCGCCGCGGTCGCTGCATGCACACAGAAACTCTCGTTACTTAAATGTAGTGATGCACCTGAAAATGTTCAGTTTCATCCCAAAATACACTACCAGTCAAACGTCTTTCCAATTCTAATTAGATTCTTACCGATTCCAATGTGGTCAAACATTTAGATAGCAAACATATGTGACCCTGGAGCACAAAACCAGTCATGAGGGTCAATTTTCATACAAAATATCTTCATGGAACATGATCTTTACTTAATATCCTAATGATTTTTGGCATAAAAGAGAAATGTATAATTGTGACCCATACAATGTATTGTTGGCTATTGCTACAAATATCCCCCAGCGACTCAACACTGCTTTTGTGCTGCAGGGACACACCCAGCTAAAGTCATTTTTTTTGTGAGTTACTGCTTTCTACATAAAATCATCCTTCATAAAGACGTAGAACATTCTATGAAAATATAACCTTTATATCTTTAATATTGACCGAGTAAGGTCATGTCAAAGATTGAAATCATAGTGAAATTAATGGTTGAAATCAAACTTTGATGCTTGTTACCTCATAATTAGATTTTGAGACTTTAGCCTGGATTTAACAGACAGGGTCTTTTTTTGCAAAACATTTAATTGCTGTTGAATACCGTGAACAATAATCAGCCGGCTGCATAAAACTGGACTCGATTAAGAGCTGTTTGTGTGCAAAATAGAGCGGCACTAATCTGGATAAATTAAGACTTGTTTTTCTTGTTTTATATGGAGGTTGTAGTTCTCACAATTCTGAAGAAAAAATATTAGACAACTACAAATCTCATGGAAATGATTCAATGACTCACTCAAGATTGACTCGTTTGGTTACCGGATGAATCAGCGGTTTTGAATGAATCTCTTGAATGAATGATTCAAAGACAAATAGCTACATTTGTAACAGCACGTTTACACCACTTAAATAAAAGATGCACACAGGAATTAATAGGTGGAACTGAAATGTTAATTTTACGACAAATATCCGAGTCCTGTCCTTAAGTATCGGATTCTGGAATTGATTTTCCCAAACCTAATAAACAACCCTCTACATTGCAAGTAAATCACTCACATATGCGACTAAATCTTTACTCTGGGCGACTAAAAGATGTCTAACATTAGCCAATTTTTGTTGTATTTTCCTGTAAAAATAACGTTAATCTTGAATTCTTTAGCTTTTAATAACCTAATTCCGGTAGTGGGCGGAGCTAATGCGCAAATGTCGATCTCATTGGCTGGCGCTCACTGATTATCGTCCCTGTTTTGATTTCTTTCTTCTGCTGAAGTGTCTCATGAAACGGCTTGGGATTCATTTGAAAAACAACTCGTTTAAATGATTCAGAGTCGACTCTTTCTTTTGAGAGACAATAACTTTATACACGGTGCACTTTCAGATTTAAAACGTTGCAGGGTATTTTCATTCACTTAGAGCTGTGTTACACACTGCATGAAAGGTCCATTTAAAAAAATCCATAATAGGGGCACTTTAAAGCAGCTTTTGTCCTCGGTGCATTCGAGCAGAGTTTCTCAGGAGGTTTCTTGAAGCATCAGTTCTTCTGGATTGAGTCCGTCTCAGTTTCATGTCATTCCAGACAGATTTTCAGTTTCAGCCCAGAATTTGTATTTGTTGCACCACAACTTAAATGCAACCAAAACAATCCAATTATTAAATAATAATGTTTTAAGATCGTGTGATACTCACGTGGCCACATGGGACAGCTCTCCGATCAGCTGGTTAATGGCACCCTGCGCCATTTCTACAATATCAGTGTAGAAATCAATATCGCTCATGAAGCTCAGCACAAGTCAAATCACATTTCTACACCACTTTATGATGATTCGAAGCAGCTCCACATCACTGAGTTGAGACACACACCTGTGACGTACGGCTGCAGGGCTTTGGGAACGAGGCTCTTGGCGATCTTCAGCTGCTCCGGGCTGCAGCGGCCCGACTCCAGACCAAACGCCAAGCCCATGCGCTTTAGCACCTCCACGTCATCGTGGATCTCAAACATGTTGTCGAAGTTAAAGAGATACTCAAACCTGTGGAGACAGGAGCCGCGTCAGACGGGAAGAGCAGACGGAGCTGAACACACGGCATGCGCTCACTTGTCGTTGGAGATGCTGCAGTCGATGACGGTTCTCTTGCTGGTGTTGACGATGACGAAGGGCAGGTGGATGACTGTGTTCGGAGGTGGAGCTCTCTTGTTCTGCTGCTCCGCCTGACGATTGCGCTGCACCAGGTTCTTGAAGGCGATTTGCTGCAAATCACGAGAAATCAGACTTGCAGGAATCATCAGTTGTATGTGCGACATGCAGTCAGCAGGAGGGAACTATTTCCAGATTTAGTTACCGATTCATTTATTTGGGGAAAACAAGAGATTGGCCTTGATTTAAAATAAATAATTTAGTTAGCGATTTATTTAATTGGGCAAAATCAAGAGATTTGCCTTGATTTAAAATAAATACATATTTAAAAAAATACAAAAATACTAACACCAAAGAAATATGTATATGCAGGGTTTTTCCTGCATTGAAAATGTTTTGTAAATGGCTGCTGCGCTTGTAAACTGAGGCAGAGAAAGAGCCCTCTCTCTCCTTCAGACATATTACTAACAATACACAGACATGATGGTTCAAGGTCGGACATAAACCATACTCTCAGTTAACAAACACAGATCCTGTGCAGTGATGAAGCGTTTTCTGCGTTGACAAATCTTGTGTGATGTACAGCCTGGATTTGCACACATCGCGTCCATGTGCGCTAATGTCCGACCAAACGACTCCTTTGAACCGATTCATTCTAATAAAGTGTTAAAACAACTGATCTGTCCAACACCGAACTCACGAGACATCGCCGTCTGAACCGGTTCATAACTAATCGTTTACTCAGAACACCTCAGAAATGAGATCGCAAGCGCGTCTACCCCATTTAGCCTTAATAATCCACAGTATTTTAATGTTATTTATATGACGATGTATAGTAAATTACCAATAAAATCACGTAGGTAGGGAACTTCTTGCGGTGTGTGGATGACCATCAGCCACCACCGAAAATCATTTTTGACCCAGGAAAAACCCTGATATGCATGTAGACATATACATACACACATATGCATGTAATAAAATTGTATATGTATAATATGTGAATTTCAATTATTTTATCCAACAAAATGCAGTTATAAGACATTTGTAAAGTCAGTTTGGGGCTTAAACGTTACATTTGAATGAAAATACTGTGCACTTAATAAAATAAATTACTTAATTATATTGTTTTATCAAACTAAATGCTGTTAAATAAGACACCTGTAACGAAAATTGAGGTATAATTTCTCTTGTCATGAAAATATCATGCAATAAATCTTTACACAAATAAATGTTGCTGTTATATATTTTTTTATTGATTGATTATTTTGGATATATACTCTTGGATATATTCTCTCAAGCATGCAAAAAAAAAAATCTCTCAACTACATGAGTCAGTTGGTACTACTCTAATATTGAAGGTTAAAATGAACTGATTCATATATACACAAACACCTAAATTACACTCGATGAAGTTATAACTCAATTACATAATATCTATTTCTACTCTAACTCATTTTTTAAATAATCATTTAAACGGTGGATTTATTCAAACATAAATTAAATATTGAAGAACTGTAAAAATGGTAACGGATATATTATATGGTGCATGAAATGCATGACAAAATGCAGCTGACGTGCAAAAACACTTTCATTGTGCACACTGTGCCAGACTGGAAGTGATGCGATGTACCTGCAGAATGAGCTCCTGCAGCTGCGACTGCTTGTGCTTGATTCTCTCCAGCCGTCTCTGCCTCTCGGCCTTCAGGACACAAGACAGATGCACACGCGCTCATCAACACAGAACGCCGTTCACACAGAATGAGCTTTCGTGTTGATAAAGATGCGACGCAGGCAGTGGAATATGAAGCACATGCAAGAAGACAGGAGTTGAACTTCTTCTAACTTGAGCGCTGTGTTTTTAGAAAGGTGAGGGACGTTTTATTTCATAACAAGTTACGGAAATAACGATAGAATAATGACACTGACATTAAGCCCGTCAGCATCTCATTTAGACACTGAACCGCACTCTTTACTTAAACTGCATCTCACAGAAGTGTCAACAGATTTAAGTGCACGCCTTTTAAAATAAAAGTCTCGTATCAGAAAAACATTAAGAATGATGTTTTTTGTTGTTGACGTCGTTTCTTTGGCCGTACACTCTGCGAACCACCAGCTGAGAAACACTGATGTATAAGACAAGTTCGTACTAGCTGTAGCTGTAGTTCACGCAGCTTTTCTGCAAAGATATTTAACAAGTGATTTGTTTAACGTTTACAGTGTTTCCCCTAGGTTTACGGCTGTGTTTTGTTTTTCTGAACTCCTTTTTAATGGTTAAATTAAATTTTATTAATCAAAAAGCATGTCTAATTAATTACAATCATGAAACTTAAAACAACTTAACTTCAATTTATTAAAAGTTTAACAAAAATTACATGTTTAGGGCCCAACCTTGTGTTTTATTGTTACCAAATTCTGTTTCAGCATGTCTAATTATTTAAAAGCATTAAAACTTACAATAGCCTAATGATTTTTCTGCTCAGAAATTCTGTGTTGTGTATTTACACTTTTTAAGGCATAAAACATTCATTTAATCTATCTTTTAAGTAATGAAAATTAAACAAATGTTATTTTTTGGAAAATAAATGTCATTTAATATTACAATTAAAACACTGAAGAAATATTGTATGATTATTCCTTAAAAATAAGGTATTAATCATTTTAGTAGTAGTAGTAGCAGCCTATTACGTACATTCTGCTGAACAATAGTAATATATTTCCGTCACAATGCCTTCAAGTTAAACCGAACTTTTATTTTGACGGGTTGCCGTGAATACCTTCCTTTACATTTCAGTGTGTGTAGGATATGAGGATAGTTTTACTCAAAGGAAACGGTCAAATGCTGATGAAGTGACTGGAGATGTTGTTCATGTATTAATGTCCTCATTAGTGAGACGGCAGACGTTAATATCACCGCAAGCGTCACGCGCGCTTCAGTACGAGCGGTAAACAAAACAGCGCGTCTGCGCCATTCATTAACACAGTCACGCAGAATTCATATTTAAATAGTCGTTTTGTGGCTTAATATTTACAAATACTAGTGGGTGTTTTCTTTAACTAGAGGGTTAGTTACTTGAATCATGTTGTAGTCACATTTTCAAGTCTGCTCGCGACTCACTGACCTCCAGGTCCTGACACTCCTGCGCCGAGTTGGTGGGGAACCCAATCCATTTGATCTCTTTTTTGTCTTTGGAGATGATGTTCATGGCCATCAGGACGTTCAGAGCATCGTAAACCCGTCGCCGGATGTTCTTCTGGTCGTACACGTGCTGAAGGAGAAAGCACACGAGCAAGCGTAGAAGATTTCTATTAGCCAAAATATGAATTCATCAAGTATAATCAATTTGAATACAGCCATTTATGTATCAAGCTATTCTACTGTTATAATTACAAAAATACATTTTATGGTGAAGCTGCACATCCTATTTTGTTTGACATTAGACAAAAAATGTGTCCCTGCAGCACAGAAGCAGTGTTGAGTCGCTGGGGGATATTTGTAGCAATAGCCAACAATACATTGTATGGGTCACAATTATACATTTCTCTTTTATGCCAAAAATCATTAGGATATTAAGTAAAGATCATGTTCCATGAAGATATTTTGTAAGTTTCCTACCGTAAATATATCAAAAAGTAATATGCATTGCTAAGAACTTCACTTGAACAACTTTAAAGATGATTTTCTCAAATGTTTTGATTTTTTTTTTTGCACAAAATGTGTAATTAAATTAGTTACTTATGAAAATGTTAACGATTACAAAGGGGGTTACTTCTGAATTCTTTTCACACACACTCACATACAGATGTAATTGAGTTCTTTCATAAATTGCATCGACTGCTCTAATGTTTCAGGAGTTTGGGACACATCTCAATAACCGTTTTATTTCCTATTTGATAGGTTTATGTAAATGCTTTATTTTTTTTTAAGATTAACTGTTTTTTTGTCAGATGCCAGTGTTTTCTGTCATAGCTATGCAAAGTTTTGATTTCAAAAACAGTATCATAGCTATTAAACTTTTTCTTGTTATGGTTTTAAATCAGTTTTTAACCTCAGAATGATCTCAAAGTCTGATTTTGTGGTTTAAAATTAAATTATTATAATCTTAATTCAAGTGATGACGGATTCTGACAGTATTCAGTGTTGAGCGCTACTGTAAGGGTTAAACCTGTCTGCTTTAAAAGTTTCAAAATGATTAACAGCTTTTAGAAAAGTAATAAAATGTAATCAGTTACATTCCTTTAATAAAGTAATTGAAATAGTTACACTACTTGTTACATTTTAAATAGAGCAACTTGTAATCTGTAACCCGTTACATTTCCAAAGTAACCTTCCCAGCACTGCTGATAATAAAGTCTGTCCTCAAGACTTGGAGAGAGATTTCTCACAGAAGCGGCAGAAGCCAGCGCACGACAGGAAGTCTGACAGGAAGTGAGCGTGAGGTTAGGGTTAGGGACCGACCGCATCGTTCGGGGAGATGTTGTTGTCGTCTCCGGAGCTCAACTCGGCCACCAGCTCGTCTGCCACCTCGTTGTAGGACGTCACCACTTTCTTCTGCACCTTCTCACACACCTTCATGGAGAAATGCCGCAAGCCCTTGCCGTTCTTATCGCCCTTCCTGCTGCGCCTGAGAGAACAAAACGATTCGTCTAAGAGCCTGAATAACATCACATCAGCTTTAATAAGAGCGAAACCATGCATAACCCTGACAATTTTCAGTTTTGGGTGGGTGAACTATACCTTCAATCAGTTTTATTATTATTATTATTACTATGGAAATATGAAATGATTTCTTTAATGAAATGATACTCTAAATAATAAACTAAAACTTTTTTAATAGACTGCAGCAATTCTCAAACATTGTTTTGGTTAGTTCAGAACTGTGGGAGAATAGTGATCTCTATTTGAGACAAAAAAAAAACTGTGATTCTCAATTTATCCAGAATGGTGCGGCTCTAGCAGGCGTGTTAACTAACCCGGTCGAGCAGGGTGAGGACTCCTGCGTCTGGAGGAGTGAGGTTGGTGTGTGTGGGCTGGTTAACAGGAGACCGGCGGGGACGCTGCTGCTCTGAGGAGTGCTGATCACCTGCAGAGAGACAGCAGACTGCAGGACACCCTTCATCATCATCACTGCGATTCTCAACACAAACAAGCTCACCAAAGTCCAGCAGACTGAATTCTGTCCATTCACTCTCTTTATTTCTTCAGATTTAGTTTTTGCTTTTCTGTCGTCTACTTTTAACACCCAGTCTTTGAAGTGGTTATTTTGTCGCCAAAAGCTCTTGAAATTTACATTATGCCTTAGTTAACAGGTACAGCCTGGTGACCGCTTTTGACTTAAAGGAGTAGCTCACTTTCAGAATCATCATTTACTCACCCTCCACACAAAAGAAGATATTCTGAAAAAGGTTTAGTATCCGAGCAGTTAATGGGCACCATTGACGGAAAAAAAATACTATGGAAGTCAATGGTGCCCATCAACTGCTCGGATACTAAACCTTTTTCAGAATATCTTCTTTTGTGTTCAACAGCAGAAAGAAACTCGTACAGGTACAAGTGGAGGGTGAGTAAATGATGACAGTTTTCATTCTGAAAGTGAACTACTCCTTTAAGTGATTGCCAGTGACGAGCGGGAAGAGAATACAGCAGAGTAACCATAGCAACAGGCAAAACGCGTGAAACAACGTGATTAAAAAAAAAATACCGTATAGAAAAATTATGTTTTGATAAATGGAAATTAAAATTTAAAGTGACAAACAAAAATCCCTTCCTTGATATTCCACGATTTCGACAAAAAAAACAAATTGCCTGACTTTCAATGTCTGGAATAGACCTTTTAAAATGCCATGATATTCCAGAAATTCCATGACCCGTGGGAACCCCGAGAGATGCAAACAGGTGAGGAGGGGAAAAGGTGAGAACATTGCGCAGATTCACACGGAATCTCTTTTAAAGATATCTGCTTTACACGCTCATTTGAAGTTACTTAAGAACATTTTTATTATCCTATATGTCCAAAACTGTAATTTTGTTGTTGCAACATTTTACAAAAATCAAGATTGAATATATTTGGTCAATATCCCATGTTATAAAAGATGAAGTGTTATGCAGGCTTTTAAAGACAATATTGGCTGATTAGACAGCAACAGCTATGCTTCCATACACCTATTTTTAGAATATTGCATAAAAAAAAGCGCTGGATGGAAACACCAAGATGTGCATAAATTCTAAAAATGCGCATAAAAAAAACGTATGCGCTCAGCTAAGTAGGATAAATGTCTTATCCGGTAAGAAAACATGCGCATGAACTATGATAGAAACACCTTTACTGAATACATTTCTTAATGCACATCAAAAAAGACATGCGAGTTTGTGATGGGGCAGAATAAAACTGGACTAATCAACAGACCGATCTCAACGCACTGCATCTGAAATGCTTGAGCAAAGTCTCGTCAGAGTGCTTCATTATAATTAACTCTCAGAACTGCGTTCCTAAACACGTCTGCGCGCTCTGAAGCTCGTAGTTTATTGTACACACAAGTTATTATATACCGTGCCTTCTCCTGCTGCAGCAAATTTAGTTCTCTTCGTGATGTTTAGCGCAAGTTAATCAGGAAGTTCTCTTCAACGCACTGGATGGAAACGGTGCTTTATTCACAAATGTTTTATGCGATATTCCAATTTAGTAACTTTGGATGGAAACATAGCTAATGCGGACCTAAAATGCACAATGTTTGCCCTCTCCCTCTCTCTCCCTCTTCACCGTTCCCACATCTCAGACCTCAAATACATCAAATATCACCCTTTTTAGACAGTTTTGAAGTAAAGATGAAAGAAAATACTATATAAAGCTTATTGAAGCAACCAGTTCTTCTAGTCTCAATCCCCCCCCCTCTCTCATAAAAACACTTTCTCACTGGATCCAAGCAAATCTCACAGGGGACACATTTTGATCTCAAAAAAGTGAGTTGTCACTGAAAGGTGAGGAGGTGCATCTATGCTAATAGGATGATGAGGAGTGTAATCCTGCTGACTCCAGCACTCTGTGATCCGCTTACAGTCTCTCCCGGGTCACCTCACACAATGTTAATGGAGGGCTTATCGCCATGGAGACGGTGGGAGGGGTCTGTGTGTCATGTGACTCGAGAGCAGGATTCAGTAAAACATGGAGTATTGATTGTAAGCATCTTACCAAGTGTGGCAGCATGTTAGCGCCTACAGCGGAGAGAGTTTTGGGCAGAATCTGTTTGACCCCAGAGACTGACGCCGGATGAACCGTCAGGAAGGACAGAACACCTGCAGCTGCGCACACACACACACACACACACACACACACGCCTCATTAATATTCATGAGTCCTGATAAACATGAGCAGTGTGACTCATCACAGCGAGCCCTGTGGATGTTTTGTTTACAGTAAAGCAGCTACAATAAAAAGACTTTAAAAACCAAAAACAAGCTTAAAGTGCTTTTATTAATAAAAAAAAAATAGGAGTCATTTGAGGTGATCTAAGAAAATTAATTCATCCATCACCAGGTTAACTACACTACCAAAAGTTTGGGGTCAGTAAGATTTTTAATGTTTGTTAAAGAAGTCTCTTCTGCTCACCAAGGCTGCATTTATTTGATTAAAAAAAATACAGTAAAATAGTGAAATATTACAATGTAAAACAGCTGTTTTCTATGTGAATCTCTGTT